TCAACAACAACTGGTTCAACACCAGCAACAACAACTGGTTCAACAACAGTAACAACAACTGGTTCAACAGCGGCAACAACAACACCTGTTTCAACGACAACTGGTTCAACACCAGCAACAACAACACCTGCTTCAATAACAACACCTGGATCAACAACTACTGTTTCAACTGCGGCAACGACAACTCAATCTGCGGCAACAACAACAAATGGTTCAACACCAGCAACAACAACTGGTTCAACAACAGTAACAACAACTGGTTTAACTGTGGCAACAACAACACCTGTTTCAACAACAACTGGTTCAACAGCAGCAACAACAGAAAAAACGACGATGACGACGACAACAACAACAACAACAACAACAACAACAACAACAACAACAACAACAACAACAACAGCAGCAGCGGTAGTTCGTACACCAGTTGTTGTTCTTGCAGCAGTTTTGGTTAAACCCTTTGTGCCTCAACTCCAAGATAAAACTAGTCCAGAATTTATAGCACTTGCGACAGAAGTGGTAGTAGTGGTGAGTAAAATACTGAGATTCATTTTGAAGTGTTGTTAAGATTCCAGCTGATTTGAATTAAATAATTAATTTCTACTTCTTTGCTCCACACAGTATGAAGTCATCTATAGAGCTCGATATGGTTTGCTTTTCAGCCGTGTTATTGTCATAGCATTCAGGTAAGATTTTTACTTTTGTTCATTTATGACAACACTAATCTTATTAACAGTAATTGCAAATAATTAATGTTAATTTAACATATTTCATTAAGAATTGAGTGTTTTCTTCTTCTTTTTCTTTAGACAAGCTGGGACCAGAACACGAGCATCTGATACTGAAGCAGAAGTGCAGGTTGTGTTTAACAACACAATAACACCTGCACAAATCCCAGAAGCTGAAGCTGTTCAACAAACCTTAGTTGAAGCGGTGTCTAACCCCAACAACACTTTCAACCTCAGTATCAATCCAGCATCTGTCGTAGCAGCCCAAATAAACAGTGAGTAAACAGAAATCACACATGTGATTCCCAAAGGATTTTTTTTAAAACAAAGCAATATAGCTATTCATATTTAATATATCACATTCAATTTGATATAGTTTGATATATAGTCTGTGTAGTTATTTATTTCATCATTCTCAGAGAATGATGAAATAAACATAATTATTTAATGTGCTAAACAGCAGAAAGAGTACTTTAAATTAGATTTACCAATGTATAGAAACAAGAGAGCATCATGAAAAATGACTTTGTTTTTAACTGCTTTTTTCTTCCTCTTTGTTTTCTACACCTGTAACAACTGCAACTGCTGAGCCAGTTTTTACAAAGCTGTTGCGGTTCGCATCGGTTGGAGAGACATTTACAGCTGACTTGCTGATCTCATCATCTCCAGCATTTAAAAATAGATCATCACTGATAGTGACAACAGTAAGTTTTCTCTCTTGAAGTCAAAAAGTGGTTAAATGCATGCATTCACTTTAGCATATGGACTCACAGATCTTTGATTGTTTGTGTTTCTGCAGCTTGAACCGATCTACAATAAAACATTTTCTTCATACAACTCAATGGAAGTGACTGGATTCCGGTAATTTATTTTTTGTTTGATGACTACATATAATACATAATACACAAAGAATTAATGCAAGTAAAACAATATTTGGCTTATTGATTTTGCAGAAATGGATCCATCATCACTGACATCTACATTCAGTTTGCATCTACATCAGCGCCAAACAACACTGACATTGAAAATGTTCTGATCAATGCAGCTCCAAACATAACAGCCTTCAACATTACCAATGTTGTTGTCAGTGACCCAGGTAAGCGCTATTTAATATTATCACATTTTAAATTCATATTATCTCAGAACTGTTTGTTAAAGCAACACTTTGTTTCCTTTTCTTGGCATTTACAGTGGCTTCAACTACAACAACAATGACTACACCTACAAACGCAACCATAGCAA